CTTCTGCTGGCAGAAACCGGCGCTGCCCCAAGCCCAGTGACCAAGCCTTGGTCGCGCGCAGCCATCGCCGGCATCGCGCCGGCACGTAGGCGCGCGGGCAGGGATTTTTGAGGCCGGCGCCGCGCCGCAGCCGAAGCAAACACGAGGTGTTGGCCGAGTCCCCCGGCAGCGCCGTCAGGCCCTTCGTATCCGCATAGAGCAGACGGCGTCGCCGATCCAGGATCTCGCCCCGACGGAAGCACGCGTAGGAAACCATGTGGAGACAGAAGTTTGTTTATTCAGAGGTTCTTCGCGTCGGATGTTACATCTGCTGAGAGACTCCCCGCCTTGCGTAACCTTTCTTTCCGACGGGCGCAGCTCCGCTCCAGTCGGGCTTGCACAGAAGCGCCCACATCAGTCCCTAAGGCTGATGAGACTTACACCGATCAGCTTTAGGATGAGGAGGGCTGAATCAGCCCCGCTGGGATTCCAAGCTGCAAATGCAGGCACAAGCGATTAAACCTGGGGACATGGGTTTGAGCTGCGTGCTCCGCCATAAACACGCGCCTTAGTGCTCGTTACTCAGTACCGTGATCAGGTTGGGGGGTTTCTGTATTTTGCCTGGGCAGGAACAGGTCGTTCACCGACGTCTTAGTGAGATGAATGAACACCGCAGCTCATTAGGAGAGGTGGGAATGGTCAAGGATTTCAGCCAGGGAAAACCTCAAAAAGCGACTCCTAAGAAACGCTGGGGACACGAGGAGAACGCACAGCTGCCTTGGAAGGAGCTGGAGCGAGAGCTGCAGGCACTGTGGCACTGGTTTCACCCTTCCACGAGATTCTACACTGAGAACCTCTCCGCAGTGAGCAGCTGTCCTGGTGACATGCATGGATTTACTTGCCGTTGAGGTGGGATTATAGCCCTAAGTAAGGCTGTAGCCACAGCGGGAATTAGCTGTACGCTGATTGACTTGGACATCGTAGCGACTAAAATAAGCAGCAACCTGTACGTGTCCTCAGAAAGGGTGCTGGGATATATCCTGCCGAAACGGAGCAAGAGTTTGTGTCGAAGCCGTTTTGGGGCTGCCTGACCAGGCCAGCTAGTCCGGGCACCCCGAATTCAGCGGGGTGACGGCAGTCTGGTCCAGCTGCTTTCTGCGTGTTTACTTTGTTTTGGTACATGGGGAAGCTCCGTAGAAAGACGATGCTGTGGTTACAGCACAGGACTGGTTCTGCTTTCATTTCCCACATGGTTTTAGGCAAATCACTTCACGCCTCTGTGTTTTTCGCCTTTTCCCCCCGTGCAGAATGTCTTTTCTCCCAAGAGACGTTCTGAAGCTTGAAGTCATTGCTTTTTAGTGACTTCCGCACGGGATGTGCTGCGAAAGTATTTGAAAGTAGTTGAAAATATTACAGACCCGCAGCACAGCGAGTCTCCTAAAATCCTAGCACTGTGCTAGTGCTCCTTTAATTACTGGGGATGACTGGGCAATAAAGGGAACATTTTTAATCTACACTTTGTAATAAATATTGAACTCTAAAAAGCTGAATAATAAACCTCAAAGGCAGGGCGTTTTAAAGCTGGACTAGTAAGAAATAGGCAGGACGTTTAAACTGGATATTTCTTCTAATCTTCTAGTGACAAATGGCCCAATTAAGAAGAAAGCAAAGACAAAACGTTCACACGAGCTAATGGGTCAGACTGCACCTCCGAAGCTCTCCGGAGCTTAACAGCCTAATCGCATGGAAGCAGGCTGCAACCGGCAGGTTAACAAAAAGTCGAAGTGACGGTGAAGTGTGGTTCACTAAAGGGCTGGATTATCCTCCCAGTCGCCGTGCTGGGCTCACGGAAGATGGAAACTTCATTATGAGTGTGATCCCTGTCTGGTATCAACACAAACTTCACCGGGCTGCCCTGAAAACCTCGACGGAGCGCTGCCGGCCTGGCCGGGAGCTGAGCAGCCGCTGTCCGCTCGGCTCCTTCCGTCCCACTCACCGTTTGTAGCGTTCACTGGTTGTCGGCATACTTACACTCTTACTGAAAGAATTTCTTTGTCATCAACTATCGATAACAAAGTGAGCGGCATTCCCGTGCCCCCAGAGGCTTACGTACTTAACATGCAAGAAGTGGAACTGTGCGGTTTGGATACACGTATACGTCATGCCTTGTTTTCACACTGTGGAATAACATCCTGAATTCGAGTTGCATAATTAGGCTGAAGTGATTTGTTAATGATTAATAAATGCTGTCGAACTTGTTCCTCCCCAAAACATCGCAGCAGATTTCTGTGAAAATGTACAGAAAGGGCAAGAAGTGGGAGATGGGTCTCTTATCTGCAGTTATCTTTGATACAGCTGTCCATGGTTTCTAGCAATTTACTGGTATGAAAACAGTCTTTAGGCATACTTCGAGACACCACTGTATACCTTGATGTTCTTCAGGTTCTTAATATTTTATACTTTGAACCATTTTGTATTTGAATCTTCTTCTAGCTTTTTGCTAGCTGAAAGCTTTATCGGTACGGTGTAGTATTATTCTCGTCTCAGGTTGGTTTAAAGCCACGTTACTGATGTATCTGCAGTCCAGTCCTGCACAGTCAGGGCCTTGCTGGGTCTTTCTTTCGCCACCTCTTCAGAGAAACGGAATCGGCGACGGCCACAGCGCTGTGCGAGCGCGTGTTTCACAGGCAGCATGGCTTCGCAGCCCCGGATGCGCCTGCCTTCATGCCGCCCGGCCCCTGCCGTTTGCCGCAGCTGTTTGTCGTAACAACAAAAGCTGCTCGGTCGCATCTGCTCCGCTGCAACAACGAGTACCTCCACAGCGAGCACAACCACCCGCGCTCTCACAGCCCAGGCAGAGCTCTCGGCAAGCAGCGCCTTGGTTACCGGCGCACAAAACTACGCCCCAGGAAGCCATAAGTGTTGTAAGGAAGGGGAATGAAGACATCAGCAGCCCTGAGGTGGAAGACTCTCCCAGCAGGACTGCTCCTCTCCTGCAGAACCGAGGTTCGGACGCTGACTGACCAAGCCGAGTTCGGGCTGTGAGCGGGGCAAGGCGGGCAGCTGAGCTCCGAACTGCCTTCGCCGAGCATAGCTGCCTCTGTTGGAGCTGGGGTTTTGCAGCCCTAACGCACTGACTTCACCAGTGATCTCTGTCTCTCCATTATTTCCTCAGCCTCCTGGAGAAATCACAATTAACCAATGGTTAATTAAATCCCATACTGCATAGACCAGCAGTTTCTGACCCGGTGAGGAGCGAGGCTCTGCCAGCTTTCCCATGGGAGCCTCATCTGCAAAAACGGGCAGGGACTGGCACATGTGCTCTCTGAAGCTGCCCTAGCGCATCGGCTCGCTGCGACCCCCCAGCAAACTCCTAACTGGGATTTGGGTGCTGCTGGGAGAGCTGAGCCATGAGCAGGGCTTGCAGAAAAGAGCAGCTCCCCTCCAGATCTATCCAACAGGCAACCTCATTTCTCCTTTTATTACTAACAGGGGTGAGAAGGTAAGTGGAACATGCTGGAGCAGGAAGAGGTGACAGATGGTGGATGTTAAAAAGACTCTTTAATTACAGGATTTGGAGAGTGGGTCATTTATGCAGATAATTTTTTAATTGTTGCTTTTTTGAGGAGAAAAATCCCAGTGCTCCCAAGCAGCTCCCAGCAGCAAAAGCCCCGGTCTCTGAGCGCTGTTGGCTCTAATCACTTCAACAGAGAGAAAAAGAAAATGCTGTGCTTGTTAGAACCCCGTGGTTAAACTTCAGCTTCTTCTGCGGAGAAGTGTTTGTTTCCTTCCATCTGCTGCCTTTGCAAGGAAGGAAAATCAGCCTGTTCAGACACCAGGAAGTTCTTCAACATTTGAACAGCTAGCTGGAAACACAGAAACAATAACACGCATAAATTATCATACCTAAAAATACCCAGCATGCCAGGCACACGTAAAACCCAGCCCTGGAGCAACTCCTAAGCAACATTAAGACTGCATAAAGTCTGCAGATACACGGGATGTGGGCGGCACAGGGCAGATGCACGTGCCTGGCTCTCCTGCACCGTTGCAGTTTGTTCCTCGCATCAAAACACGTTTTGCTTTTACTGGGAGCTGCTGGCTGCCTCCTGCGTCTTTCTGCACCGCATCTGCCAGAGCCACTTGCACGGGAGATTAAAGCGAGAGCCAGACCCTCTGCAGTCCCCACAGCACTGGGGTTTAAACCAAATCCAGCCACGACGCCGGGGCTGCCTGAGCAGCGTGTTAGGGTGCTGTAAGGCCGATCCCAAATCGCAGCAGCTCTCCGTGCCTCGGAGGGGACAAAGTGCCGCAAAGAAGGCCAGGCTGGTGGCAGGGATGGGTGACGCCTGTCCGCGGGCCGCCCCGATGGCAGGCAAACCCGACAGCCCGCACGGCACCCCAGGCAGGGACGCGCCTGTTGCCCTGCAGCCTTCCGCTGTGG